TTGATAGAAAAGTTGTCTGAAAATTAAAAAAATCCCGTTTTCTTCTGATTACTACGGGTCATTTTAATAACTCGTTGCTGCTTCTAACAGTTTATAGAGAAAAAAAAACAGGTTTATTCTAAGCCACCGTAAGAGCTTAAAGAAAGCTTTACCCATTTCTCTATCACTAGTAAATTAGGATATTAGTAGTTTTTTAATTCTGATGAATTAAAGATGGATTTTTTTTATTTTTAAAGTGTTTTTTTTGCAAACCTTTTTTTAAGTCTTTTAGAAGCTGTAGCGCAGCGTGTAATTGAGATAGATTGTAGTTTGAACAGTTTTTAGCCGTTCAGAAGATTCTGATTTTCAAAGTTCATTATAAATAATAAGTTCTGAAAATCCTGGTTGAAAACATACGTGTCTTCAAGTGTGAATGCATCAATTTAATGCTGTTATTGGGCCTGATTTCCAGCGAGGTGAATGTTTAAGATTGGCTAAAACTGTACTTGTCCAAACGGAACCCAAATGACATTGATTTCTTTGAACTCGACAGTCTCCTATAATTACCTTGCTTTAATACTTTTTCAACTCTATCGTGTTTGAACAGCTCTGAGATAAAGTTTCTTTAATTTGAATGTTAAAATAAATTGTTTATTCGTGTTCTACGTAACAGCTTTTTCTCCGCCGCACCTCTTGCTATTAAGGGACGCTTTCGGTAAAGAAGGTTGACTTGAGTGCAAGGACTAGGTCTAAGACAAGGCTTTTATAGAAGAATGAAGGATAATTTTTGGTCGTTTTCTGCTCCACCTTCAAAACCGTCTTCCATAAATATCGTTCCAGACGTTTATGATTTTTGCAGTTTTTTTAATTCTTCGGAGATACTATTTCTCTTTTCCCTTACAAAACTGTAGAAATCTATAAACGAAGGAAATGAAAGAGAAGGGTTCTGGTTGTTTATTTTTATCAAATATGAGTTTTTGTTAGAAATGGTTAAGAAAAGCTGAGAAGAATAAGTGATTTGAATAGACCAGATTGAAACAGTCTGGAAGCCTTAAATTTTTTTGAGGGAAACGACAATAACCCAAAAAGGAGCTTCTCTTTTCATTTACCTCAGGTAAGGCTAATGAAGCTTTCACCTCCAATAAGACGCAAATTAGTTCAATGGTTAGCCACTGAGCTGCTTCACCGACATATTACGTTCCTTACTTTTGCTGCTGCTGCTGCAGTTTCTTTTCACTTGAATTGGCACCTCTTATTATTCGCAACGGATTACAAAAAAAAATATGTGATAAAGAGACAGGACTAAGCGTCATTAATGGATATAATAAGCAAGTTTTTCGAAAAATCTCGCTGACGAAGACCCTGGTGGCAAGCTTTCAAAATGCCGTAGAACTCGAACAGTTCAACCTTCGCTTTCAGAATGCATTATCACGCTGCATGTTTGAGAAAATGCAGCTTTAAAATAGTAACAGCAGAGAACAATATATGAAATTAATGCAAAGAATAAATCTCCGGTAAGATCTGAAGGCAAACACAGTCAGTTTTTTCATTCCAATTCTGACATTTTCCTTGAACAAGTAAGACTCAAAAATTTTATAATTTCCAAGTGAATGTTTTTTTGTTGTTTCTGCATCCAGGTATTACGCTTAATCGAGGAAGGTTTTTTTTTTTACGTGGTCAATCTCATGAGACTGCCTTCAAATCGTTAAGCCGTCAAAAAGCGTTGGTTTACGTTGGAAGAAGGCATTTGATGTTTTTTTTTCATTCTGAGCTCCTCTTTTTTTCTAAAGAAGTGCGGAATAAATCTCAGCTGGATAAAAAGGAACTATTCCGTGTCAAAACAATTATGTAGTGTTCTTATTCGTATGGGTAGAGCGTAAAACTCAATTTGACGATAACTATTCATTTGAATAAAGCAGATGTCAAAAAAGCGTGCTTCAGGAACCCTTTATTCCAATTTACAGTAAAAAAGAATTCTTTTCTGTAAGAAGGGGCATCATTTACTCTCACCTAACGAAAATCAGCGGGCTGTCGATGAATTTATCAAAATCCACCCAAAACTGACAACCATCTTCTTTTGTAAAAAGTAATCAAATGTAAAAAAATCATAAAATTTTAAAACATTTCACTGTAAATGTCCTATACTGTAATGGAGCTAAAATTCTAAACCATGTTATATAACAAAATTCAACTTACCCTAAGTAATTTTTGTTAATTGATTAGAAGTCACTATTTTACTTTATTCATTTTTGTACTTTACTGTCAATTTGCTAAATCACAACTGTAAAAATGAAAAGATTTACTGTAATTAACAGTAAAAGATGGTTGACGTCATTTAACTCTGTAATAATTTGTGGAAATATTACTGTATTCGATCGAATTTGGAATTCATCCCGCAAGGCGGCGCATATACACAATCTTTGTAAAGTTGCCATTTAAATTCAAATAATAATCCCCCCTTTGCCCATGCGAACTCTCTACACTGCTAAAAAAAATTTACTCTGACTAAACTTATAATTTTGTTAAACTCTGGCAGAGCTTTGACTTACGTCACATCTGTACAATTTACTAGCCTTATTTTCCGTTAAAAATTTAATAAACTTATTACCTATTCAGCTCGCTCTGCATTCACTTACAAGAATTGTAAGTACGCAATGTAAGCTGGAGTATAAGAAAACTTATATATAAGAAACTCTAGGTTAAAATTTTAAATTACGGTATTTTAACAAAAGAAAAATTAGCCGTAAGTGAGAGGTCTAGTTAAGCCTTGAATTGACTCAAATTAAACACTATAAAGTTCTACTACATAGGCGTATCATCATCATCACCAAAAAAAAAAAAAAAAAAAAAAAACACTCCTATCCGAAGAACACAGAAATCCAAAAAAAATTATTTTATAATACAAAAGTACCTGCTAGTCAGAAACTGCAGCACACAAATGAACAAGAACGGCAGAAACTACAACCAATTTACAAGCCTACTTCAGCAAAAAATTTTACTGTAGAAACTCAATTAATATGAGAAATGAAACAAAAAACAACGGTAGCCTTGAAAAAATAAAGACAAACAAGACAAACTATACAACTTCCTATTAAAAAATAAAGAGCAATTAGCGCTCAATAAATTTTCGTTCCATATAACCGTAACTTTTCTGTAAGCCGCGTCTAGTACTATTCAAACGTTCCTCTATCGTCATCGTGGATGTTGCATCATTAATCATCGGCCTGAAAGAAATGTACTCTAGAAAGTAAGAAAACTTGAGGAGATGAATGACCATCAAAAACTTTAAAAAATTAAAATAACCCAAAAAAAAAAGTAAAAAAGAAGTGGTAAAATAAAAAAAAAATATTTTGCAGCAAAAAAATATTTCCAAATCTAACTCAGAAGAAGCGCATTCGTAAAATATATCAAAAAAAAATTTGTTTTTTTTTTTTTGCAAAAAGCACTCCTCCAAATAACTCCAAAAATTTCATAGGATGTGAAGCTATCAAGTTTTCTGTAAGAAAACTTGATAGCTTCACATCCTATGAAAATGACTGTCATTTCAGTCACGGCGGTGCTTTACTTTCGAGAGACAAAAAAGTAACATATTTCTTTTACAGTTTAAGCGTCTATATACACACCTAATAAAATCTGCAGGTTTCCCTTCGTTATTTTTCTCCTCAATTTTCTCCTTTTCAACGACTTTCTTTAAGGCCTGCTTACGAGTCTTATCTCTCCATTCTGCATTCTCTATCATTTCTTTCCGTTTAGCTTCGATCTCCTCGTTTGTTAGTTTCCGCCTTTCCGGTTTCTGCAAAAGAAACTGTGAGTAATAAGACCTAACCCAATAAAACATTCAAAAAAAGAAAAACGGAATAACGCAAACCAAAAAATATCATTCTGTGATTGAATTAAAACATTGCGCGTTTTCACACATGTAGTAAACGCCAGAGATTAGGCTAAAGAAAGCATGCGGTTAAACCTTAATATGCACTACAACAAAGAATAGAAAAAAGTTATAGAAGAAAATTTACCGTGTATTTTTGAACCAAAGGCTTAGAAACACTTTTAGATGAGTAATGAGCAGGTCTGCATATATTTTTGATGTCTTTTTTATCTGTTACACCAATGAGGCCATAATCTCGTGACTTATACTTTTTCCTATGATAGTCCTCTGAATCTGAACTACTAGCAGAACCAGAATTCTCATCCTAAATATTTGTGTTTAGTGTCTTCAAAACCTAACCTTTACGTGGTATCCAAAAGAAAAATTCTAAATAGATAAAACTGATAAAACAGTATCAAAATGCCGCTGAGCTCAAAAAGTGGCGAATAACTAACTTTATATGAACGTAAGTGTGCCGGTATATGCGAGTCATAATTTCTCATTTTTCTGCGGGTAGCCTGAAAAGCAGCTCTCATTATAACATTGACTGTCAAGAGGTGGAAAGTAAGTGAAGGGTTCAACAAATCCACATAGAAATAGAACAGAAGAAACAGCAGACCTCTGGAACCAATCCTTCCTTTGATGTAGTAGGTACCTCATCCTAAAACTAAATAGATGATCAAAAAAGAAATACTTACACAAAAAAAGCAGAACCAAATTGATAAACAAATATGAGCAACCTTTCTGTGCTTTCTAGTAGCAGAATGTTCCAATTCTCGTTGTTCTGACTCCGAGTGCTTTCTAGGAGAGTGAGAGTCGTGCCCACTTTTCCGCTTTCTTTCTTCCTGAGTCTGCAAAAAAAATAAATAAGAAACTAAGACAATAAAAAGTTGGTAACAAATAAACTTGAGCACGCAATATTAAAAAAAATTCAGATTGAGTAAATAAAGCCAACTTCGTAAGCGTCTTTTTCATAATCGTGATGATGCCGCCTTTTCAAATACAAACTTTTGTGGCTCCTCTGAAAAAAAAAAACCGATAACAAAGTAGCTCTAATGACCAGAACAGCTTAAAGACCAAGCAAAACATAAAAGGCTTCTTGGATAGTTACTGGAAAGCGGGTTAAAATCATTAAATATATTGGAAACCTTAACAGCACGATCCTCTTGATAACTTCGTTTACTTCCTTCTCGAGAATCTTCACTTTCAACACTATGGAGGGACCTTTTCCTCTTCTCCTCTTTTCTTTTAGCTTTCTCAATTTTCCTCTGCAACTTCCTTGCCTTTTTTTCCATTGCCTCCCTCAAGATTTTTTGCATACGCATCATTACAAGCGGGTTTTCTAACTTTTCTTGCCGTAGCCTTTCTTCTTTAACCTGCAACTTCATTATTAAAAAAATGAACACTTTTTGCCACTGACTAAATTTATCAAACAACTGTTCTACAAAACGAAATAAAAAGACTTCCAGAACCGCCCTACAAACATAACCAAACCTTTATAGCGACTAAAGGATCTTCTTTACGAACAACATTCAACTCAAGATTAGAAACTTTTGCCGCCGTGGAACCCAAAGTTTTCGCGCGACCTGAAGTTAACGCTTCAAAATTGTCCTCCTTCTCCTTCCTTACCACGTCAGAATACATTTCAAAGTTTTTGTCAAGCTAAACAATCTT